ATGCTACTGGTCTAACTTATGGCTGTCTGCATGTAGAAAAATGCAAATAGATCCATATTTATCACCCTGCACAAAACACAAGTACAAGTGGATCAAAGACTTCGGCATAAACCTAGGAACACTAAACCTATTAGAAAAGAAAGTGGAGAAGAGCCTTAAACTCATTGGCACAGGAGACAACTTCCTGAACAGAACACCAACAGCACAGGCTCTAAGAGCAACAATCAATAAATGGGACCTCATGAAACTGAAAAGCTTCTGTAAAGCAAAGAACACTGTCGTCAGAGCAAAACAACAGCATACAGATGGGAAAGGATCTTCACCAACCCTATATCCGAGAGAGGGCTGATATCCAGAATATATAAAGAACTCAAGAAGTTAAAAGGCAATAAATCAAGCAATCCAATTAAAACATGGGGTATGGAGCTAAACAGAGAACTCTCTGTAGAAGAATATAGAATGGCAGAGAAACACTTAAAAGAGATGCTCAACGTCCTCAGCCATCAGAGATGCAAATCAAAACAACCCTGAGATTTCACCTTACACCCATCAGAATGGCTAAGATCAAAAACTCAGGTGATGATGCATGCTGGAGAGGTTGTGGAGAAAGGGCAACCCTCCTCCATTGCTGGTGGAAATGTAAACTTGTACAACCACTTTGGAAATCAATCTGGTGCTTTCTCAGACAATTAGGAATACTGCTTCCTCAAGATAGCTATATCACTCCTAGGCATATATCTAAAAGATGCTCAAATACACACAAGGACATTTGCTCAACCATGTTTGTAGCAGTTTTATTCGTTATAGCCAGAACCTGGAAACAACCCAGATGTCCCTCAGTTGAAGAATGGATACAGACATTGTGGTACATTTACACAATGGAATACTACTCAGCAAATAAAAAACAGGAAATCATGAAATGGTGGGAACTAGAGAAGATCATCCTGAGTGAGGTATCCTAGAAGCAGAAAGACACACATGGTATATACTCACTTATAAGTGGATATTAGAAATATAATATAGGATAATCATACTAAAATCTGTACACCTAAAGAAGCCAATCAAGAAGAAGGACCCTGGGTAAGATGATCAATCATCATTCAGAAAGGCAAACGGGATGGACATCAGAAGAGGGAGAAAACGGAACAGGAAGGAGCCTTCCACAGAGGACCTCTAAAAGACTCTACCCAGCAGGGTATCAAAGCAGACGCTGAGACTCATAGCCAAATTTTTGTGGTACTTTTACACAATGTAATACTACTCAGCAATTAAAAACAAGGAAATTATGAAATTTGCAGGCAAATGGTGGGATCTAGAAAAGATCATCCTAAGTGAGGTATCCCAGGAGCAGAAAGACACACAGGGTATATACTCACTTATAAGTGGGTACTAGACCTATAAGATAGGATAAACATACTAAAATCTATACACCTAAAGAAGATAAACAAGAAAGAGGACCCAGGGTAAGATGATCAATCCTCACTTAGAAAGACAAATGGGATGGAGAAAACAAGTAACAGGACAGGAGCCTACCACAGAGGGCTTCTGAAAGACTCTACCTAGCAGTGTATCAAAGCAGATGCTGAGACTCATAACCAAACCTTTGGCAGAGTGCAGGGAATCATAAAAGAAGGGGGAGTTAGTATGATCTGAAGAGGACAGGAGCTCCACAAGGACCAAATATATCAGGGCACAGGGGTCTTTTATGAGACTGTTTCTCTAACCAAGGAACATGTATGGATATAACCTAGAACCCCTGCTCAGATGTAGCACATGGTAGCTCAGTATCCAAGTGGGTACCCTAGTAAGGGGAACAAGGACTATTTCTGACATGAACTCAATGGCTGGCTTTTTGAACTCCCACTCCATCCCCCAAGGGAGGAGCAGCCTTACTAGGCCACCGAGGAGGACATTGCAGCCAGTCCTGAATAGACCTGATAAGCTAGGGTCAGATGGAAGGGGATGAGGACCTCCTCTATCAGTAGACTTGGAAAGGAACAGGGAGGAGGGAGATGAGGGAGGGAGAGTGAGATTGGGAAGGAATGAGAGAGGGGGCTATGGCTGGGATACAAAGTAAGTAGCCTGTTATTAATATAAAAAATAAAAATTGTTTAAAAAATAAATAAAAAATAAAATAAACAGGACCTCGTGAAACTGAAAAGCTTCTGTAAGCTTCTTTTGTCAGTAGAACGGAATAGCAGCTTATAGAGTAGGAAAAGATCTTCGCCAACCCTGACAGAATATATAAAGAACTCAAGAAATTTTTCTCCTTAAAGGAAAAAATAATATATGTTTTTTTGTTAGCTCCCCCGCTGTTCCTTTTGGTAGTTTCTGTAGCCAGTTCAGAATGCTTCCCTGACTTAGAGTAGACTGTGGCAGGAACGCTGTGCCACTTTGTATAGATAGTAGGATCTTTTCTGTTGAATTAGAACATTTAATTCCCTGTTAATTGTGATATTGTTGTCATATATATTATATCTCAGTACACATAAGCCTGACAGCGTAGTGTTATCAGTTTGCCTTTAAGGATTCATATAATTTTCAAGAAAAAAATACAGCCTTTTATATTTATCTACTCATGTACTATTTCTGATGCTTCTCATTCTCTTTATAGATCCAAATTTCCATCTGGTGTCATTTTTCTGTGACTTGAAAAACATCCTGTTATTTCTTGTAGTGCAGGTGTTCTGGAAGTAAAATTTCCGTTTTTAATTTTAAAATGTTATTTCTTCTTTTTGAGGGACAGTTTATGAGATAGAAAATTCTGAGGTGAGAAATTTGTCTTCTTTCAGCATGTTAGAGATATCCCCCTTGTCTTCAGGCCATTACTGTTCTAATGTTAATAGAACATCATATGTAATATCATTCTCCTGCATAAATAACATATGTCTCAGGTTGATTCTGTTATAAAGTCTACTTAGCATTTATGCGTCTGTCTTCATTTTCTAATTTTTGTATCAGCTACTGTAATTTTCAGTTTTAAAATTTTCATCTAGTCTTAATTACAGTCTAAACATCTCTCCTGAAGCTGCCTGTCTGCTCATTCTTTAAGATTTTGTTTATGTCCATTACTTGATTACTTGACAAACCAATTTTAAATTGAAATTATCATAAATCAAAAATGTGTTTCAGCTTCAGATTCTAGCACCAAGACCTGGGCTGCCCCCAATCACGATCAGAAAAGTCTCATTGAGCAGTGGACAACAGCCAATGGAGAGATGCATAACTAGTCAAAGTGTTGTATTCGTTGATACATAGAACAAAAGAGTACGAAAGACCAGCACATAATCTGATGAAGTCTAGGGCTCACTGGTGTGTGGGTTTGTAAATACAGAGGAAAAACAAGAGGGAAGAGGAGAGAAAAGAAAAGGTTATTTAGCAGTTAACATCTTAATCATGTAGATGTGGCTTTTCTTTGGAGTTTAGAATTTTGGGCACAAGGGGAAATAATCTTCAAAAGAACAGCCATGATTGCAGAATCCCCTAGGGAGCTTGGATAAAAGAAGAGAGGGAAACAGACAAGGAGGAGATAGGGCTGCTCTCAGGCAGTCTATTCATTTTCTACAAATGGGCGAGACTACAGATATCCTCTAACTAAAACTTTTCTAGATAATTTGAACTATCAGGCTATGAATCAGTTCCAAAAATCAGTATCTTTTTTTGAGAACACTACTTGTGACAGAGCCCTCTCTTCCTGCCACATTTGATAAGAAAAAGGCGAGCATGCCTACATTTTTCTTATTAACCTGCCTGCTTATGTGAATCTCAGTGTGCCCTACTATGCTCCATTCTTCCATTGTTTCCATCATTATCTCAGTAGGACTTTGGCATGCCAATCAAAGTCACTGTTTCCACACTCCTCCCATCCTCAGGTGTTCCTCCCATCCCTGGTGTAAATAAAGAGATTTTGTTCTTCATTTCTCCACTTCTCACACATGACAATATAGCAAACTTGTGTCACCTATTATAGTTCCATCATAAATACATTGGCTTTGGTGCCTCACCTTTGTGTTCCTGCCTCTTTTTCTTCAGCCTTCTGTCTCACATTCCTTGCATATTCCACACCAAGGTTTTCTTTTTTTTTCCCCAGCTTAAACTTTTTTTAAATTTTTATTATTAATTACATTTTATTAACTATCCCAACTGTATCCCTCTCCCTCATTCCCTCCCAATCCCACCCTCCCTCCCTCATCTCCTCCCTGCCCCTTTCCAAGTCCACATCTGACCCTGTTTTATCAGGTATCTTCAGGACTGGTTACGAAGTCCTCCTCTGTGGCCTAGCAGGACTGCTTCTCCCTTGGGGGATGGGGAGGTCAAAGAGCCTGCCATTGAGTTCCTGTCAGAAATAGTCCCTGTTCCCCTTTACTATGGGAAACGAATTGTACACCAAGGTTTTCACATTTTCTTCTTCTTCTTTTTTTTTTTTTTTTTTTGATTTATCTCACACAGCTAAGTGGTTTGCTTCTTTTTGCTTTTCTGCCTGACTTTGAAACCTCATTGCCTTACTTTCTTCTGCTTTATCGTAGACTATAACGTTAACTGAAATGCTTATCAGATTACTTAACTTCATTGACCTCCAGTGCTATATTGTCCCTAGATAATAAATGCTGATTTTAATACCTAATGTTCATCTTTATGCTTAGGAACCATGTTGGGTATGCACATCTCACCTTAACCTGTTTTCTTAATTCTGTAGACATTCTGATTCTTACGCATACTCTGTGCCTTTATTAGCAGTTTCATGGGTTTGAGTCTCTTTTCCAAAACTCCAAATGTACAGTTTGAGGATTAACATCATCAAACTAATTTGTTCTCCAAAACTACTGTAGGGAGACAACAAAATGTACCTTCAGAAAAGCATTTAAATTATATATCAACTAAAACAAGGAAAACATCTTACTGCCATAAATTGTATTGCAACTTATGCTGATTTGAAAATGTTCATGTGATCTGTGTCTTTCCCTGTGCCCTCTATAGTCCATTCTTGTTTCTTCTTTCAGTTTATTAAAGTTGAAATGTGATGGACAGCTGCATGAAACCTCATCATCCTTTAAAATATGCCCAAGCTCTCCAAGCAGTGGACAAAACAGGAGGGAGAAGAAGACAGTTGCCTTTCAGTCACATGTGGAGGATGATGCCCAGAGCATATGTCAAGAGAATGATACATGTAGACCTCAGAGAGGTGAGTGTAATGTCTGCAGTAGCAGAAACAGGAGCCACTGAGAACCTTGGGAGGTGGCTGGTTCCTGCAAGCCAGTGAACACCAGGTGGTTTCCACTATGCCAGCTGGAGTTAGCACTTCAGGTAAACATGTGCCTGCAAAGCTGTGGGAGGCATAGCTACTGGAATCTCAAGTCACATCTACACTTATTTCTCATAGAATACTAATATGAAAATCTGTCCAGTTTGGCCCTCTTTTTAATAGCTGAGTTGAGCATTAAGTATGGTTGTAGATACCAAATGTTGTAACAGAATAAGGCGCTGGACAAATCTCTCCTGGAAAAGTAAGGCATCATAATTGATGCGGAGGGGAAGTCATAAACCACTTTACATTGTAACTAAAACACAACCTCCCAAGTCTCAGCAAATTGTGCCTAGCACTCTTTGAAGGCTAATACTTCATGCTTTAACTGTAGGTTTTTAAAAGAAATCAACTACAAGTAACTGAAATGATGAAGGAAAGGGTGTGTATATGTTTCCCAGCTGGTCCTGAAGTGACTTCTGTGCAGCCTATGCCGACAGCCCTAAGGACTGAGTTGAAAGGGAATGAGCCTCCTGTATAGGAAACAGGCCTCCTCTGCTCACACCCCAGGACTGCTATCCTGATGTGTGTGTGTGTGTGTGTGTGTGTGTGTGTGTGTGTGTGTGTGTGCGCGCGCGCGCGCGCGCGCTTTTCTATCGGGAAACCTTCTCCCCCTGCTGGTGCTAAGCAACTCACTGTTCATAATCTCTTCAACAACTCTCACGTTTGCTTATTTATTTGAGAGTGGATGTGCTCTGTGAGGAAATTTTACATGTACCTTTCCCTGCTTTCTCCACATGTTGCCAGCTTTGCTGTGTTCTAGAGGTTAATTAACAGTAACCTAGAAATCAGTCGCTTTATCCTCTTCCAGGGCACTGAGAAATGATAATTTTTCCAAACTAGCTTCAAACTCGAAACTCAACAACTTCTTTTTGGCATAAGACAAATATTCTACAGAGCTCCACTGACGACAGACATTGAAGCTTCCTTTTAGTCAATGGTACCTAAGACAAAGATTAAATTGTGAAGACTTACTATCTGAGATAGCCTCTACTGTCTCTGGCAGTAGTCTTTCAGCAATGGGAGCTCCTTACCTTGGTCCTTCTTATTATTGCCATTGTACTTCAGAGAGGAGAACCAGTCCGAACTGGTCTAGTGGTTGCTCTGCAAGACTTAGCATAATCTTCTGTTGACTTGCCAGCACAAGTATGTTGTATGCCAACACTGAATAAAATAGCAAAAGGAAAAACCACGTAGCACAACAGAGGGACAAATAGTGTGTGTGGCCGGTTGAGACTGTTACAGTTAGAGAGCAGCCTTGAAGATACTTGTCAGGCCCTGTCAGGACAGCCTGTGCTGGAGCAGATCTCCCCCTGTCCAGTACAGAAGCCAAAAGCCTGGAAAGGGCTGGTGTCCCCACCCCCCCAAAATCAATTTCTAATTTGAAGCAAAACCATTTTTGACTCACCATGGTTTGTGCGGTGCCGTATGCTGACATTGCAGCACTTTCGTTGTGCACAGTGACTCCCGGGAGTGCTGCTAGACAATCGATCTAACACAAAGGAAGCAGATACCTATCCCCAGAGGTTTCAGGAACATTGACATTTGCCATTTTATTTTCCAGCAGCTCCCCTCACCCCACTTTTTCTTTTCTTTTCTTTTTTGAGGCAGGAGGATATATTGTGATAGGGAAAAAATATCAAAAGCCTTCTCATATGTTTAAAAGTTTGAAGTTTTTTAACATTTTAAGATATTCACAGGAACCATGAGGTTTTTCTACTCATGGGAAAGGTAGCCTTATGGGGTGTTTTTTGTTTTTTTTCCCTCTTCTTTTATGGTCTGCTTGATCACTGAAGACATGAGTTGCCCCCTTGAGCCTCTCTGCCAGTGCAGAACTGCTGTGTACAGATACAGAGCAGGGTTATTGCTGTGGCCTTTGCTGCAGCACTCAGCCCAATGGGAAAATTAACTTTTCCAGTGTGCACTGTGGTTCTGGATGCCCTGGTTATTATAGTGCCAGTGACCCAGCACCAACTGCCCAGGCTCCACTGCTTAGTTGGCACCTCTTTAATTGCTTTCCTCTTGTTATCATGACAGAATCTTTCCGTATACATTTCTCTTTTCTATCCTTTGTTTCTTTGTTGTTGTCCTTTAATCAGGAAGTGTTATACAGGATATTTACTGCAGGACCATTAATCTTTATTACCAGTCTCTCACTCCTTTACCTCTGCTGCTCTCATCACCATTTTGCTAACTTTATTGACACTAAACATATAGACAGACTCTTGACTCAAAGAGCAAGATAATAAAAATAGGCACATTGTTATCAAAACCAGTTTACAATATAAGCTTTCTCTTTCATCACTGCTTAGAATCCTGTATTTTAGTTTAGTTTTTTTCTGAGTTATGGTGAATGGGAGATGCTACTTTGGAAAATCTAAACTTGGGTCAAGAGCTGTTAGAAGGCATGCATAGGGGAACACACGTTCTGCCTGCCTCTCCCTTCTTGCCATGCCTCAGCAGCCATTCTAGAACTGCTTTTACCTGAGCAGTGACTGATTCTTTGTTACAAGACTCCTGGGAACTTAGGGTGTTTCCCCTGTGATACTGATCATCTAGCTAAAGCTGAGCCACAGAGCATAAATTCAGAATGAAAATATTAGATTATGGGGCTTGACATTGCCTTTTCTGAACTCTGGCTGAAAGCCATTCCAAAGGTCCCTGCTGTGTTTGGGGCTACCTCCTGCTTGTTCCTGTCATGGATCTCTGAATCCCTAAACATCTGGGGCAGAGCCTCACTCCAGAGTAATTTCAGCTTAGCTAGTAGTGTTGGCCATACTCTTCATTTTTTCTTTGAGAATTTTTTTAGGCTAGCCTTACATAGTGGTTGAGTTCCCTGAGAAGTTCTCAAGCACATATTTTTTTTTTTTACTGGAAAGTTATTATTATAAATGTCACTGAAGTAACCAGTCTCTAGTGTCCCAGTGGTGTCTGTAAGTGAGCCTGTAGTGATGCGAGCATCATGACCACCCATAGTAGATAAACGCAAAAGAAAACACTAAGTATGTTGGAAGAATCAGAATACAGAAGCAGTTTTCATGTGGCCTCTAAGGATCATTTATGTTTCTTATTATTATTACTTATGTTTCCTTTATTATTACTGTCATCTGTATCTTATATTTAATCATAAGAAAATGAACTTATTCCCAGAAGTATGAAATAAGAGATACACTAAGTATTGAGAGCACACAGAAGGCAAGCACACTAGAGTGCTATGTGGACAGTAGACAGTAGAGTAACTCATTCTATCTAGTTCACTAAAAAAAGAGTTCAAGTTTTAAGAGCCTATCTTTAAGAGTTAATCTCACTGTAAATATGGAAGATTATCACTTAAAACAAAACATCTATGTTTCCCATCCTCTGTAATTGAAAGAAATAATTCAAAACAACTTCTACTTTACCAATTTGTTATATATAACTTGGTTATAGTGATAGCTTCTATCACTAGACAGTAGCTTATATGTCTCTGTCTTATAGCTCCACATATGGAGCTATGTTTATATATTCATTATATATTCATTGACTGAATTAACATAGCATTAAATATATTGATTTTTCTTTTTCTGCTCTCATTTTATTTTCCCAAAATAAGGACCTAATCAGTACGAGCTTTTGACCTCAATGCCTATAGTGATTTAGTGACTTAAGCATTTTTTTTCCTTCATCATCAAATTCCTTATGATGATTGATTGCTAATGTCAAAGAGAAAGACTATAGTGAGGCCTTAAAATAGCAGTTTCTGAGAAGTCAGGAAAACCATAATCATTATTTCATTTTCTTTTCTTTTCATTGAGGTTTAATTATATACAGTAGAGCTGCACAGGTCTTAGATGAACAGTTTGCTAAGCCTGATGATTGTTTATACCCATGCAATCACCCATTCATATGTAGTGTATTTCTCTGACCACCAAACGTTCTCTTCCTCAGACCCTTCCCTGGGCCTACAGAGAGCTTTCTTTCACTGTGATTTCCCATAGTCCTTTCTGTGTATATGCCTCCCGGTGTGTCTCCTTCTTCCAAAGATACCACTTCAGCAATCATACTGGACCCACCCATGTGACTTCATTGACCCCTGATGACTGCTTCAAAGGCCCCATCTCCAAGTACAATAAGTTTTAAAGAATACTGGGGACTAGGACTCAGATGTAGCTATGTCCATAAACAATGTCTTTCTTTCCATAATTATGGCTTGTTTTTGTTGTTGTTGACTGCCTAGGGGTTCCATTCCTAGAAACAAAATAGTAAAAGTATATGCATACCTCTTCCGGGTCCCAGAGAAAGCAGCCTTTCAGACATTAAGTGTGATATTACTGGCACTTTTTTTTGTTATTTTTTAAAATTAGGTTGAGAAAGTAACTTCTAGATGGTTGAGAGTCTTTGTCATAAATAGGTGTTTGATTTCATCAAATATATATTTTTCTACAATGGTTGAGATAATACTTGTGTTAATTTTTGCATCATATGACCAGACACCTAAGGAACAGCAGTTTTAGAGAGCAAGGATTTTATTCTGGCTCACAGTGTCAGAGATTCCAGTTGGCTACCACACTTGGGCAGATATCATGGTGAGAGGACCATAGGTAGAGATTGTACCTCATTTCTTGTAGGAAGCAGAGAAAGAGACATGCTTTTCACTCACAAGCCTATGACTTACTTCCTCCAGATAGGTTCTACCTTCTAATGTTTCTGGAACCTCCAGAGACAGCACATTAGCTAAAGACCGACCTTTCAATACCTGAGCCTTTGTGGGAACATTTCCTATTCAACCATAATCATATTTTTTATTCATTAATTTGATTATTTGCTGAGATATTGGGGTATACAATGTCTTTGTGGTTGTTGTAATGATTGTGCCAAATTTTCATATTATAACATGTCAA